CCGCGGCAGAAGCCATCTAACTGAGACCCGGTTCTACAGAACCTCTGAGTCAGCTGCTGGTTCTGTGCTTAGATCAGTCTCTCAGACCTTCAGACCCGGTTTAGGAACCATGGGTCGGGCTAAGAGCCGATTGACGTTTTGTAAAAATGTTAAAATAGAAAACTGCTTCATTTTTGTTGTTAAAATTCTTAATTCTGGTTTCCCACTTTTGACTGGAACAGATTATGGAAAGTTATTAAAAAAGATTCTAGAAGCAAAGCTCTAGTCTGTGCAGCATCTAGAACCAGAACAGATAGAGAATGTTCATCTATTAAAAACATAATGAGATCTATGTGTAAAGAAAAGAAAAACGCAGCAATAAACTCTGTGGGACGGTTTCTATGGTGACAGAGAGGTGATTCTCAGAGAGATCTGGGAAGTTTTTCTTTCTTTTTTCTATAAAGAGGTGAGAGAGATCCGCTGCGCTGACCTGCTCTGTCTGCTCCTCCTGATTCTGGTTTCTGTGAGGCTCACAGAGGATCACTACTTTATCCGTTTCTGTCCTCCTGAACTCCTATCATTGGGAAAGTTTTCTATTTTAATGCTGGCTGAAAAACTGACTCTTTCTCCATGAGATTAACAGATTTTATTTTCTATTTTCCTCCAAAGTTAAATGTCTTTAACGTTGTAACCGCGTCTCTCTTCCGGTCAGACCCATTAGTTGCTGCTGAATTGCAGTCTGACTAAAACAGACCTGGACTCTATCTCAGTCAGAGCTACGCTGCCCCCTGCTGGAAATCATCCCCATTGACTTTCAATGAGCTCTAAACACCAGGACATCTGATTGGTGGTTTTCTTCCTCACCTTCTCCAGAGGAAACTTGTTCTTCCCGATGGAGGACAGCGTCAGGCGCTGAGATCCAACCAGAACAAAGTTGCTGCTGCGCACGGCGTTCGGACCCCCGGGGCTGGCCAGAACTGCAGATGGCGAGGTTTGGTCAGTGGTTAGCTGGACCGTTTCTAGCGGTTCTGGGTCTGAAGTGGTTCTACGTACCTGGCGTCTGCGCGGTTTTCTGAAAGAACAAGAAAGAGCGGCTCAGTGAGAGCAGAGGAAGAGGCGGAACAGAGAGGAGGGAGCCGGACTTACCGTGATGGTCAGGAACCGCTTGGGAGTGATGGCCTGTAGATAGAAGACAGGATCAGACACGGAGGCAGAACCAGCAGCTTTAGCCCCGCCCACCCTGTGCGCCCCCACCCTGTGAGGAGCAGAAACTAAGCGTCCGTACCGACAAACACAGACCGTGGGCCTCAGAGACGAGTCTCCAGACGCTCTGGAAACACACGGCTCCTGAAACGGCTGCTTCTGACACCCAGACCAAACATTCCCCTCACCGCGCCGTGCCTTACCTTGGATTTAGCCGCCTTCTTCTTCTTCTCGCTGCAGAGCTCCTGCTTCTGGACCTGAAAGAATCAAGAACAGTCCAGTAAAACCATGACAGTACGGTCACCATGGAAACAGAGACCCTCCAACGGGCGTACCAAGCAGTAGACGTCCAGGTCGATCCTGAAGTCGCTGCAGACGTCCGACCTGGACAGGAAGAGAGGAGGCCGTTAGGACAGGAGCGTAGCCGTTTGGCGCCGCGCGGCGTCTGGGACTTACAGGCTGAACTTGGTGGGGAAGGTCAGCGTGTCGCCGCTGAGGCCGCGGTGAGTGCTGGCCAGCGGCGTGGCCACCATGTTCTCCGCTCCGGCACGTATTATGATAAAAAACGAATGTTTGGTTGAATCTGGGAGGAAAACAAACCACAGCGTCAGAAATGGAGGAAGAACCGGAGGAAGACTCCGCCGCTGCGGTCCTACCGGGCCTGTTGGCAGTGGAGCAGACGAAGTCGGCCTTCAGCGGCAGGCGGAGCTCCTGCAGGGTGATGGATCCCTTGGAGGCAGCAGGTTCAGAATCTGCTGAGCTCTTCTTCTGCCCCGCTGGCTCCCCCTTCAGGCGCTCCAGCTCTGCCTTCAGGGCCTCCCTCTTCTCAGCTGGAGGGAGAGAGGGAGGGAAAAGGTCAGCGGCCTCTAAGGTCAGCATGGCGCCCGAGTGAAGCAGAGGAACTCACTGGCCACCAGCAGCAGTCGCTCCGCCTCCGCCTCCACCTGGGAGCCTCTGCCGTGTTCCTCGTCCACGCAGCAGTTCAGAGCCTGGCTGGCCTGATGGATCACCGTCTGCTGGAGGTTCATCTCACTGCTCAGCATCTGCAGACACAGCGCCGTTAGCTCTGCTGGAGCGTGGCTCGGCGCCGCGGAGCCGTGCAGAGACGCGTACCTTCATCCTCTGCTTCATGCTGAACAGGCTGGCCGCGCGAGGCTCCTCCGCCCGCTTAGAAACATCCTCCTTCCTCACGATGACCTGCTTCACCGCCGGGCGCTCTGGTTCCTTCACCCTGATGGACCTGTAGGCGTCGATGCTAACACACACACGACACTGTTAGCTAGCAGCTAGCACCCCCCCCAGGCCATGGCAGATCACAGCTTCCCACCTATAAGGCAGCTTATGGTCCTCGTCGCCGTGAGAACGGGTCCCCTGCAGCTCTTCTCTTGGGGCGTCTCTCTTCAGGAGGAAGGAGCTGGCTGGGGTGGACGTCTGCAGGGAGGTGAGAACAGACGTTAATACACTGCTCAGAAAAATGAAAGGAACACTTTGAAAACACATCAGGTCTCAATGGGAGAAAAGAATCCTGACATTTCTTTATCCTGACATGGACTGGGTGATGTGTTAGGAACAAAGGATGCCACATCATTTCATGGAAATGAAAATTATCAACCTAAAGAGGCCTGAATTTAAAGACACCCCAAAAAACAGAGAAAAAATGATGAGGGTCTGACAATGGGTGCAAGGATTTCATCCCGACCCCTAATGGCAGTCAGGGTGGCGTCTAGCCTGTATAGGTCTGTGCGTCCCTCCATGGATATGCCTCCCCAGACCATCAGATCCACCACCAAACCGGTCATGCTGAACAATGTTACAGGCAGCATAACGTTCTCCACGGCTTCTTCAGACCCTTTCACGTCTGTCACATGTGCTCAGGGTGAACCTGCTCTCATCTGTGAAAAGCACAGGGCGATAGTGGCCGACTTGCCAATTCCGGTGTTCTGTGGCAAATGCCAATCGAGCTCCACGGTGCCGGGCAGTGAGCACAGGGCCCACTACAGGATGACTGGCCCTCAGGCCACCCTCGTGGAGTCTGTTTCTGATTGTTTGGTCAGAGACGTTCACACCAGTGGCCTGCTGGAGGTCATTTTGTAGGGCTCTGACAGTGCTCCTCCTGCTCCTCCTTTAACAAAGGAGCAGATAGCGGTCCTGCTGATGTGTTGTAGACCTTCTACGGCCCTGTCCAGCTCTCCTGGAGTAACTGCCTGTCTCCTGGAATCTCCTCCATGCTCTTGAGATTGTGCTGGGAGATGCAGCAACCTTCTGGCAATGGCACGTATTGATGAGCCATCCTGGAGGAGTTGGAGTAGCTGTGCAACCTCTGTAGGGTCCAGGTAGCGCCTCATGCTAACAGTAGTGACAGTGACCCTAGCCAAATGCGAAACTGGTGAAAAAGAGTCAGAAAAGATGAGGAGGGGAAAAATATCAGTGGCCTCCACCTGTAAGACCATTCCTGTTTTGATGGTCGTCTGGTTGTTGCCCCTCTAGTTCACCTGTTGTTCTTTTCATTAACACCAAAGCAGCTGAAACTGATTAACACCCCCTCTGCTACTGACCTGACCAAAGCAATATCCCACAAGTTTAATTAACTTGATGCTTGATTACAAAGTGTTCCTTTAATTTCTTTGAGTAGTGTACGCAGACGCCTCGTCGGGCGCAGGTTCGCACGTCACGCCATATTGTATGTGGGAGAAAGTAGTGAAGGTCTGATGTAGTGAACGTTGATCAGCTCAGTTATTATAGCTGTACTAAACTAGTTATGTATACACTCTGAATACATAATAAAAAAAAGTTGTCCATGTCATTATATATGACTATATGTCAAGATTATAGATACGCCTCTATCAATCTATTTTATAATATATATATGTGTGTGTGTGTGTGTGTGTGTGGAGGGGAATCTAAAAATCAATTGGTTAAATCTAATCATTGTGGTCTTCATTATTTCATAAAACTGTCACACGT